TGTGTGTGAGCACTCTGGAGGCTCTCATCTCTCATGCTGGAAGCACTCTCCTTCCCTCTTCTGCTTTTTGTGAGAGGCTTTCAAATCATGAAGTGAGATTAAATTTACTCCTGTGTGAGGGACCAGGCCCATGTCTGTGTGTTGTGTGCTGTGTGGCTCTTCACTGACATCATGGACTGACAAGTAGGACTGAGATGACTGGTCCTCAACAGTATGCAACTTTTGGGCTTCCTCTGTCATGGGGAGGAGTTCATCATGGTGCGGACAACAGGGCATTGGGACCTGTCCAGCTCCTTGAACTTCCAGAGGCAGTATGAACATGTGTTAAAAAAGAAAAACTACAGGATGCACAATTGTAATTTTATTTGCCTGAAATGAGCCAGTTCATTCCTCTGGGTTAGGGTAGAGAAGGACTTCTTGCTATGAAACATGGCAGGAAATGAGTCTGCTCTTCTTAATGAGAGTTCTTTGCTAAATGTCTCCATGAAGAGGCAGCTTCTTTGCTGTCCTTGTTCTTAAGCAGCAGGATGTATTTTTCCTTATTTCACTGCTGTCCTGTGTGTGCTGAATCTGCACTCAGTGCTGAGGAACAATGGAGAGAGGAGACCATCCATCATAAAGTATGGCTATATTCCTAGCAAGACACTTGGAACTGTGCTTTCTGGTGATGGTCCCTATGCGCTGAGCCATGTCTTGGTGGTTGTGGACACCGTAATAGCTGGTGTCTTCCAGCTGTCTTTGCTGTGTGCAGAGCCAGCATGAAGGTTGCAGCATGATTCACCAAAAACAGAGAGCCCAAGGACAGCTTTTCAAGGTCACCCCTGTCAGCTGGGCATCTGCAACCAAGAAGGGAAAAGGCCTTAAGCATGACTAAATGATGATACTTTCCAAAGGACAGCATATGAAAAACCCATGAGGCTGTGCTTGATCTCTTCAAGGGTTTTGGAAAGCTAAGAGCCCCCAGGGACATCAGTGATCCACCCCTTTCACAGGAGCATAACTACAGCCAGTGAGGGGGTGGCCCTTTTGAGGACAAGTCGGCATTCTCTGAGCCCCCAGTGAAGCAGTGGTTGCACTTCTTCCAGCTGCATTGCTGCAAACCAGATTCCAGCCTAATCCTCCCCACTACACCGGGGCTGATGCCCTGCAAAGTCCTGTTGCCATTGTTCTCCAGCACCTTGACTCTTCCTGGAAGCAGAGGCATTTACAGTGGCAAAATCCTGCAACGCTGTGAAGCCCCACAGCCCAGAGACACCTCAGAGTTTGTTGAAAAGTTCGACACTATCCTCTCAAGTGGAACATATTTGAGGCAGTGCTGATGTCTAAAGCTTTAATTCCTAAACTGATACGGGAAAAGATGAGTTTGACACAAAATTTTCTTGTTACATGAACTGATGGATCTCAATAAATTAATTTATATCCTCTGTTTTCTCACTTAATTGGTTAGTAGTAGTTGGTAATGCATATGAAATTCCATTCATTTTATTATACAAATGCCACTAAATGATTTGTCTGTGCATTAAAAAATGGACTTATTGTTTCTAAGATATTAGGATGCTTTTGGCTAATCTTTAATTCTTGTGCTCAGCATTCATTAGACACTATTTATTACTATCTGAAAAAACAGTACTGTTTCAGATTTCAATCTGATCTTTTGTAATTAAAAGAGGTTTCTTGCACAGAATTTAATGTACTGGTAAGGTAGGTGCTATCTTTGAAATTCAGTGGGGTAGTTTCAGTTGGAATGAGAAAAGGTGTTTAGCTCTTCTAAACAAAGCTATAGGAATCCATTGGTGAGTTCTTTTTGGTTACTACTGTTTGATGCAGTCTGTAAGTGCCAAGAAAATAACATAGCAGTCAAGTGAAGGGAAAAACATCAAGAAAATGCAAAATATTTAGAAAAAAAAAAAAGAAGACTAAAGGCTTAAAATTAATTAATTTGTTTAACAGATACCTTTGCCCCTACAACTGCCTTTTTTTTCCTTTTTATGATGAACAAAAAAACTTTCTGACATTCCTCATGCCTAGAATTCGATCTGCTTTCTGAAAGTTGTAATTTTGCTGAGACTGCCCTTGTTACCGTTATAGCATGTTCTCAGCTTTCCTACATCATATGTAGCTTTCTGGTCTGCTCCACATTCCTCCTGCTAGGATTCCTCTTCTACTATCACACATTTTATTCACTTACTATATGTAAATTTCCAGCCTGAAAACAAACCGTTCCAGGAGACACTGCTTCACTATCTTCAGTGGTGGATATAAAAGACAAGGATCAATAATAAATGGCTTCAAATGGATTTTGGTAACTTCTGTTATGGAGACAAATATCCTAGTGCCTCTGAGGCTAAAGGTGCACTGAACAAGGTCTGCAGTGTCAGCTGCTTTGTGGAGCTTTGTTTTCTGCCTGGTGCTAATGATTCAGATCTTGGAAGCTTTGCCTTCTTCAGGAGCTTTCTCTGTGAGCAGCTTGAAAGACTGTGTTACTCTGCACAAAGCTGGGTATATGGATGTGAAATGCAGGTGCAGAAATATCCAAGCCATTCAGAGAGGTGCAGACAAAACATGAAATGAAATGTTTTAATGAAATCTGAAAGCTGTCAGGGGAGGAAATGGTGAGAACCTGATTTTGCACCTATTGATGGCAGTGTTTGCAAGCTGGGTGGTGCTGCTGCAAGACAGAATTTGGTGCCACTTCTGCAGAGTGCTGTGAGAAGTGCATGATCCTGCTCTTCCTCCTCAAGCACATGACTCGCCCCACTGGAGATGAGTCTGGGGTGTGCAGGAGAGGACATCAATTAGCCATTGATGCGTTGTCAGCTGTTTTTTGTCTACGTGGCCCATCCATCTCAGGGTTCATCTCAAGACCTGTCCGGGCAAACCAGCTACTCAATACCAGAAGAAAAAGAAGTGGCAGAATATCCAAGTGCAACGAAAGGCAGTGGAAAAGCCTAACAAACACAATGGAAGTTTTTGTCCTTTTTTCTAGAGAAGGCAAGTGTAATCCTTATCCTTTAATATCCTACTCTGTTTTACACCAGAATGAGAAAGTGTTTTCCATTTGTTTTAATTATCTGTAGGCTTTAACTCTGCCTTTGGAAAGTATTTTTGCTATGACAACCCTTGGCCTCACGGTGAGCAGTGCTAGGAGAAAAAACTAATGCAAGGATTTTTTCTTTCCCTGCATGCAATGTTTAATCTTTCTAATCTTTTAATGGGAATGTATTTTTTGCCATTTTGTAAATTGACAAGATTAGCACAGTTTCTTTCAAAACAGCAGTTGACAAACATATTTTGCTTAACAAAATTTCCACCTTACTCTGAATTCTCCATAGTGACCAATTCATTCTTAAAGTTAAACCTCTAAAAGGCTAACACTCACTCATTGACTTTAACAACTTTTTTTTAAGAACAGTTTGTAAAAAACTAGGTTTTAAAAAATATTTTGTTTATTAAAAAGATTACATTGTCTTGAATAATAATAACAATAATAATAGTACTTCTATGCATTGTGTGATTCAGTGATGTTGCTCTTGAAATTTTGCATGTTTTCTAGATGTTCTGACATTTGTATGTTTATGTGGTACTTGTAAAAATCCTAACCATTGCTGCTATAATCACCACCATTTTAGGTAAGTGAAAGTTGTACTATGAAGCTGTGCCAGTTAGCAGGATTTTTGTGTGTCATGCTAAAACTGTATTCTGCTGATCATTTCTTGGTTTATGCCAGTATTTAGTGCCTTCTGTAGAAGGAATCAATATGTTGTGGTAGATGGGATGTGCCAAATTTCTAGTGTCTTGTCTGCACAGATGATCACTTACCAGCGTGAAGCTTAAAAAAATAGTAAAAGGAAAAATATTATTTAAGTTTCCATCTTTCTTTAAAGTGTTTTCTCATTGATTTTAATTTGGAAAACCTTTAATAGAACTGAAAAGAAACCGTCTTGTCCTGTCACCCTACTGCAGCAGCAGTCTACCAGCTGTGAGGGAATGTGTAGCAACCAAATGTTCCTTTTGGTAATGGATCTAATGAATAGCCGGCCTGCTTAGGTAATTTTGGAGCATGCTAAAATGTCATTTAATTAAAGCAGTCCTCTGATTATCATAAGAAACTGTTAGCTGTCATAGCAGTTGTGAGCTGGCTCTTGTAAACAAATGTCAGCCTGGTCAAGTGGTAGATTCCAGTCTCTGCTCTGCCTCTACAGAAGCCACACGTTGCTGCCAAATGAAACTTGGATGCAAATCAAGCCTAAGATTTTTGATCTCTTTCTTTCCAACTGCTCCCATGGCAGACAAGTCCTGTTTATCAAAATTCTGACATTGCATTTTGAGTTCTTCTTCTACTGTCTGCCTAAAATCTGGCAGTATTGCAAATGCACATAAGCATATGCATTTGTTTTGATCTTTGTAAAATTCTGACAGGCTGAAATTGTATCATACTGTACTCACAGAACAAACAGGCAAGAGGGAAATGTGAGATACTCACCTCTGGTGGATTTCCCAGCCACCAGGCATGGTTCGCTGTACCTAGGCTGGTCTTTAAGATAGTATTTTCCAAAAAAAGAAGAGACTGGCCATCAGTTTTCCATCTCTGTTGAGACATGAAAGCCATCTTGAAGCCATTTTCAAATCAAAATAACAAGTTATGAGAAAAACTGTGTTACTGAGGAAAAGTACAATGAATTCATCCTTAGAAGTATTGGTCTGAAATAATCTCTGTCTCCAAGCAGGAAAATTAACAGCCCTTGTGATGTAAAACACTTCCAAAAGGTAATGTTTATGCCAAAATTTTCAATGTAGTTCCTTTTAGTGATACCCAGGACATTTACAAAAAGCAATATTAAGGGAAGCATACAGAATACCTGCATACAGAATCATGTAGTAGTAGGTTGCAAGCTGGCCCTGCAAAAACCCCAGATGAAGATTAAAACTTTCACAAATGATGGAATGCTGAGAAGCCTTTTGCAGTACCCCAATTTGTATCAGTTGGAGGGAACAGGGCTCTCTTCGGAAATTGGTCTTTTAAAACTGGAAGCTTCTTCAGACTTGTTCTACCAGACAAGGAGCCAGCTGAGACCAGTTAGTAGTGTAGTTCTCCATTGTGCTGGTTATCTAGCAGCCATTTGCACATGAACATGTGCTTTCACTAATATGAATAGAGAGCTTTCACTCCACAGAACTCCTGCCTATGTGGCCCTAATATTAAATATTCAGGTCTTATATCCTACATTTCTTCTCTTTATGGGTAGATCAGTGTCACTGTTGAGGCGGGTGTGACATACAAATAGACACACTACATTTCAGAAGGCTAATATCCTCTTTTATTAAAACAACTGGCTGTCTTTTATACACTCTACAGAGTTTACATTTGTTCATTGGTTACAATAGATCAACATAACATTCATTGGTGTAAAACACATCTCCACCTCTGTTTTTCATGAGACTTTTCTAAAAATACTTTTCCCAGCTGCAGGTTTTCTTTCCTGCTTATCTCCTTCTCTGTCTTCTCTTCTCAGTCTCCAGGCCAACAGCCTTGATAGAATACCTTTCAGAAATAATCCTTATTCATTAACCCTCTCTGGCTTACAGGCCAGCTGTAAGCCTCTCTCCACAGTTCCCCCCCTTTTTTATACCTGAACCAAGAACGCAGCTGCTAAGGATTTTGCAGGGCCCTTGCAAAAATCCAAGCAGACAGCAGGGAGACAAAACAATACTTCAACTTACAAAAAAACCCCATTCAATTATTCCCATCTTCAGACTTTAAATGTTCCTGTAAACTGACCCATTGTGATCTAACATGTCCTTACAATACATATTCTCAAAATCCTGGCATCCATAACCATGCTCTAAGAATAAAAAAGGTACATTAACAAGGCACATAAAAGATGGATTTTCAAATACCATTACAGACTCTGCAATCCCTTGATGACCCATTTGTGTTTTAGTTAATAAATTTTAGTTAAATAAATTTTCCTCCATATAGAGTTACACTTTGTGACCAAAAGACCAAGTCATCTGTCCAGTCACCAATTAGAACTAAGCAACATTCACTTAACTTTACTGGCCGCTGCTATCATAATAGGCAACCAGCCTAGTTGCTTGAAGTGTGGACTTTCAGCTACTAATTCAACACCCTTATATAAAAGATCAGAGTCCCAGTGGTCTCACCATTGCACTAATTACCTTGTCAATTTGTTTTTCTGACTTCTATGTGTTGGCCTAATTCACCAAAAAACCAGTCAGAGTGCTGCAGCACAGCAGCTGTTTTTTCCTCCATCTTCTTTGCCATTGTGAATCTAGGTATATCTGCATTATCTCCAGCTTAGATTCAAGTCAGAAAAACCATGAACATCCTTTATTCCCACTTTGCACACTGGAAATGCAGTAAGGGTCCTATAGGTACAGACTTGATCTAGCCTGCTGCCTGTGGCATGTCAGTCTAATTGCATTTGTTTGCTTTTCACCACAATTCATCAGTTTCAAGCTGCAAATTAGATGATATAAATGGTGTGCTGGTTTAGATACCACCTTCCAATCACAGTGATTCCTTCAGTGTACATATTGTCAGTCCTGTAATTGCATTTTCTCTGATGTGCATTATATTGCAGGACCAGCTTTCTTTTTTCCTTTTAAATATAGCTTAGCCTATGCTGCTGAAAGGATCCAGGAAAGAATCATCCATCCAAACCCCACTGGAATTTGGGACCTAGCTTTTTTTAGACCCCCTTGCAAGCCCCAGCTGTAATCAGCTATTTAAGGCAGAGATTTTAGTGTCAGGAGTGCTATGTATCTTCCACTCCAAACGCAGTTGCAGGTACACAGGGCACCTTCTTGCAAAGATCTCTTGCTTCTGCATTTGGGAGATTACATAAACAGCAGTTTATTAGGGAGAAGTAATATTCTGATGCATTCTAATGCATTAAGCTCTGCAAATCTAGAAATCTGGGGGGAAGGGGGAGATTACTGGATCTTTTTCTGAAAATGTGAGCAATATTGTCAACTATTCCATTTTCAGTTAACTGTTTGACCCCATTGTCCTCAAATTACCCTATTTCTGTACTTGCACAGCAACAGGAGAAAAACAAGCAAAAAGGCTTTGTGGCTGTAAAATGAAGCAGGATTTCATAACTTACTTTAAGCCTCAGTCCCTAGTGGGGTTTCCAGGGCTGGTAATTTTTTTACTCATCAGCTGGATAAGTTTTGACCCATGTGAATGTCACATTGCCATGGCTGCAGTGTACTTTTAAGAAGCAAACTTCATACATGGTAAGATCCTTCACTGGTAAAGACCGAGCAGTCAACAAAATTTTCTGTCACTTGTGTCAGTTGAGAACTGTTTTTTTTTTTTTTGTTGTGATGTATTTTTCTTCTTCAAGACATTCCACTATTTTTTAATGGGGATAGAGTAAACAAATGTGTATTATATTGTTGTCTGCCACAATGTCTTCTTGAAAAATGTTCTTTAAGCATTTGAGTACAGAAATACCCTCAATAAGAAGGAAGTAAAGAGACTGAGAGGGGTTTTTTAAAATGGTATTTATGAGTCTTCTCTCTTGTCAGATAATTAGGCCTTTGAAAAGAATGGATTCAATTTGTGGTAATTGGAGTATGACATTCACTGTTACTGGTCTGTAAATTCCAGAGATATTCTGATCTTTATTGCACTTCACCTCCATTTTTATTCTCTTATGATAATCTTTAATAAGTCTGGTTCTGCTGCATTAGAGATTGGTTTCAGTGTCTGTACAATGTTTGCTACTATTGTAGTGTGACTTTGTATTTTTGATTTTTAAAATTTGTATTGGTACAGCCTTAACTTACAGAAATAAAGCCCCTTTAAAATAAATCAAAATAGTCATTGATGTCTGTGATAAGTGCATGCTTTATTCACAGTATTTTATCTGTAATTAGGTGTAGCAACCAAGTCTCATGTATTTAATAAATTGTTTTCTGCAAAGTTGACTCTTTTCTTTAATCGAGTGAAGACAATTTATGTGGCATTTCAAGACATGTTGTATAAAAATAGCACAAGCTGTGTCTCATGTTTTTCAAGTGTGAGTATCTGCATAGCTGGGGAGTTCCCATGCGCCTGTGCTGCATTTTGGTTAGCAGAGTACAAATTGGCTGACCAAGAAATAGTTGCTGTCATACCCTCCTAACTCCTGGGGTTGTGTTTCAGGAAAACATTTAACCAATTGCTTAAGTAAGTCCTTCCCTAGTCAGGAATGTACATAAAAGCAAGCTTGACTTGAACCATGTGCTGGTTTAATCTCAATATAGTAGGACTGAAATCCTACGTTCTTAGAGGCATTTTGGAGAGCCTTTTGGAAGCCATTTTCCTGAACCTTAATTCCAAGGCACACTTTGGCCTGAAATTATTTATTTTGCATGTGGAATTTCAGCAGTAATGTCTGCTCTCCACATTGTTTTGTTTTAAAGTTCATCTAGAATGAAGTATGAATCCAAGAATATTCATCTTTTAAGACAGGCTTCTCAGATAGGAAGTTTTTCTGTACAAGAGGTTTTAAAACGAAAGGACCAGAAAACTAAAGCTAAAAAAGCCCCTATTGTGAAAGTTAAACATCCCAATTGGAGAAGGTCAGAGTGTCTTGAGTTCTGCCAAAGGAACATGAGAAAAAGGAAAAAGCCAAATCCCCCTGAAAAGTGGCATCTTGGGAACTGCAACGTGTGTTGTTTTGAGGACATCAATGCAGGATAGTGCAGGATAGCAAGAGGTCAGTGACCCCATGGGCGAGGTATAGAGGAACATGCTTTTCACCAGGTATTCTGGGAATGCATTTACATCACCTGGCAAATTCTGTTAAAAAAAAATCCCTTCTTGATGCTTGGTGCTAGCACCTGGACTGTGCTCAGCACAGAAACATGTAAAAAGCATCCTGTCAGAGATCCTGCTGTTGTCTCAGTGACAAGTGGAAGGAAGAAAGGAAGGCCTTTGGATGAAGAGACAGAGAAGTGAGGTATGGACAGGTGATGGCCAGGGGCTACCAGATGCTTTCAGTGTCTGTTACACAGGGACAGTAAACCTGTTGGATTAAACTTTATAGCTCGTCACAGATGTTGAAGTTAATGAGCTTCTATTGGTCTAAAAGTGAGTATGCAGTGGGTGGTTAATGGTTAAAATGTTTAATGCAGATTCAGGTAAGCAAATTGGCAAAATTATGGAAACTTTCACTTTTCCCTTTTGTATACTGATTAACTTAGATTGCCACTTTAAGAACTGCCATACTCCCACAGCAAGTGGAATGGCTGGATAAACAGCAGCAGTGTGCACATGCTGGGTGCAGTCTTGCACTATGCAGCCTTTGGTGTAGCAAGGGAAGCAATACCAAGGAATTTGGCTCAGGAAATCTGGAGTGCTTCCCCAGGGTGGTCTCACAAAAATGATATAATCTTCTGAGCTCTTGTGTGTCTATATATATCTGAACATTGTGTTTGTGACGTTGCTGAAGGGTATCATGACTTCAACTGATGCAGAAGTTGCTGAGGAACACTGTAGCATTTTCCTCTTCACAGAAACTTTGAAGGTGGCAAAGTGGGGTCTGTAATTCGCTAGTGGCTTGCTTTGCAGTATGCACCAAAGAGAAATGGAAAAAGGCAGCTATTCCTGAAAGGATCCACATTTCTTTGTGGCATAGCCTGATGGCTTACTGTGTTACAACCTTCACTACTGGTATCTTTCAAGAAGACTAATAA